AAGGCCAGCCTAGGCTACATAGTGAGACCCTGGTCACCAAAACAAGCTAACCAAACCAATTAGAGAGAAAAGCATACAGGAAAATGGTCGCTGTGATCCCACCACCCAGCCAGATTCTCTCCTGTAAGTTTTCATGGAATTTTCACACATTTTCTTTGTGAAAATGTCTCCACCTAGATGCTAGAATGTAGGCTCAAGCAGAGAGCAGTTCCAGCTTCCCTGTGCCTGGTACCCACAAGTGCTGATATTCTTGTTTCGTTTTTTATCTTTTTTCAGAGACAGGGTCTCACTGTGCAGTTCAGGCTGGCCTTGGACCCACTATGCAGCCCAGGTTGGCCTTGAACTCGTGGTGATCCTCCTGCCTCAGCCTCCTGAGTGCTGGGCTCACAGGTGTACACCACCACACCTGGCTGAAGTGCTGATATTCTCACTGCAGGGTCATGCAGCAGAGAGAGAAATGAAGACCTGGTGGCCACCCCGATTGTACTGCGGACGAGCTGGACAGCTTTAGCTTCTCTGGGCCTGGTTTGCTCTCAAGAAATGAAAGTGTGGGAGGAGGTGATGCCTGAGCGGGAGCTGTGTGCTTCTCACCTGGGTTGGAGGGGAGGAGGAAACTGGGACAGAGTTCCTGTTGCAGACTGTCCAGCACTTTCTGCGGGTGGGGAGAGGACAGCAGACAGAGAAGAGGATGAAGGAGAAGCGGCCCCTCACCCCCCACCTCCGCCATCTCGGGGGCTCACTCCGGCCAGGGAGCCAATCAGCGATCACCTCCCCGGCTTCCCGGCCACCATGCGGGGTGCAGCCGCCCTGCGGAGGGGGGGGAGCAACAGGGATGCCTTCCGTGACAGCCGCGCTCACCATATTTGAGGGCACACCTGGCAGACAAAAGCTCCTGTTCCCTTTGTAGAAGACCTTGCCAACCGTCAGGGAGAGCTGGTTTGCTTCCACGGTCCATGAGGCCTCTGGGCAGGAGGCCACACACACCTGGGGGCCGAGAAGGTGCTGAGGGGCTGAGCCCTGCGGCCTGGGTCGGCCAGGCAGGGGGGCCCCGGCTCTAACCTGGGGTGTGGGGCACCGGAGGCCGCTCTGCACGGCCGCCAGGATGTCGGTGGGCAGGATGCAGCTGAAGATGTTGAAGTACAGCACGTAGGGCTTCTCCCTGCGGGAAGGCGCGTGCAGGTTTCGGGGCCTGCTCAAGGTTTGGGGGCGGGAAGGAGTGACTGGGGTCCCCCCTAGAGTGTGACGGGCCCTGTGTGGCCCAGAGGAGCCCCATGCACCTCCTGGCCCAGCTCAGCAGGGGGGCTCAAAGCACCAGTTTGCAGCCCAGGCCCCTCCTAGTGCTTTATGAAGCCGCGCATCATTTACGAGCTCTGCCTGAAAGTCCCAGTCCGCATGACATGCCAGAAGTTCCTACTGGGTGTGGCTGCGCACACCTTTGTTTTGTTTGTTTGTTCCTCTGTTTGTGGCAAGGTCTTACTATGGAGTTCAGGCTGGCTCTGAACTCCTGGAGAGCTGGGAATTACTGGCATGAATCACCAGCTTTTTTAAAACAGTTTTTATTGTAAGACAGAGCCGCGAAGTCACTTAGACTGGGCTGGAGGTTTCCGTCTTCCTGCCTCAGCCTCCCAGAGTGCTGGGATGGCAGGTGTGTGCCACCACACCCAGGTCTCATGAACGTTTAAAGAGTTTATGTGTGTGTGAAGTGTGTTGCCTGCCCGGAACATAGTAAAAGTGATATAAATGTTACAGGGTTTTTTATTAAACATTTCCCGCATGTGGGCATGGATGGCGTTATTCCTGAATCATCCTTGTGCAGGAAATTGAAGCTCGGGGAGCTTAAGGAAGTTGCTCAAGGCCATGCAACCAACATTTAGCCCAGTGGAGGATATAAGCAGCAGGCACTGGGCCAAGGTCCTGGGGTGCTCCAGCTACGTGTCAGCAAGGGGAGGGGGCCGCTCCGCTGGGCATAGGCGGCTGGGGGGCGGCAGGGAGGGTGTCCCGTGTGGGCGCTGAAGTACTTACCTGTTCTCCCCAACCCCGCAGTAGGCTCCGGTGGAGTTCCTGGGATAGAGGACCTGCCGGGGGTCTCCGTAGACCCAGGCTGGGGGGAAAGGGACGCACAGCTGAGTCACAGGAGGATGGGTGGGGCAGCCCCTCACTCACGGGCCCAGCTCAGGCGGTTCGAAACTTACCCACGATGCCCACCACGATGTACCCCAAAATGAAGACCAGGAAGAGGAGGCAGCAGATGATATCCGTGCAGCCCCTGGGAGAGAAATGGGAACCTGAGCTGGGGAGACTTTGGGGAAGGAATGTGGGGGGCACCGTTTGGAGGGGAAGGGAGAGAGGCGGGAATGCTCAAGAGTGAGTCTCAGCAGGGTTTGTGCTGTTAAAGAAACAAATAACCCTTTCGGAGCCCGACACAGAGGGACAGGCCTGGAATCCTAGCACTATGGGAGGCTGAGGCAGGAGGATTGCAAGTTCAAACTCAGCCTGGGCGATTTAGTGACTCAAGACCCTGCCTCAAAATTAAAAAACAAATGGAGGGCCAGGGATGTGCGACACCCACCATCACCCCACGACGGAACCCCGTTTTTCTGGGTGGTTATTTTTCTTCAGAGGTGTAACACAGAAAAGCACAATTCAGGTGCATGAACACTGTAGGGCATATGCTTAGCGTGTACGAGGCCCTGGCCTCAGTTCTCAGCACCACACACAGAAGCACAGCTTGTAAGAGCTCAGCCGGATGAGTTTTCCCCAAACACGCACCCATGTAGCCCGCACTCACGTCCAGAAACAGGATGTCCCCAGCCCCAGGAAGCTACCCTATTCCCTTGCAGACACAACATTCTCCCTGGGCAAGGATTTTTCTAAGTTTTTTTTTCTCCTGAGATAGGGTCTCACTATGTGGTTCAGGTTCAAGATCCTCCTGCTTCAGCCTACCAAATGCTGAGATTTTAGGCGTGGGCCACTGCGGCAGAATTAAGTTTCTTGCTAATATTTCAGCAAATACAAAGGACAAACGGCCCCACCCCCAGGGCAGTGCCAGAGCTCACCTGTTTTTGATGGGGCCGTGAAAGGAGGGGTCATATTGGGCTGGTTTCCCTGAGGACCAGGAGGAGGAGAATGAGGCACCGAACCCTCCTCGCCCCGGGTCATGTCCCTCCTGGGATCCCCCTGGCCCGGGGTCCTGCCCGGGTCAGAGTGGCAGGAGAAGGACTAGGGAGCAGATCCGGCCGTGACCTCTGCCCAGCAGGCAGGTACGGAAGGGGCCTGCCTGGGTTTCCAGCCTGCACCCCAGGCTGCTGGCCTGGGAAAGGGCTGTGGCCCTTGCCCTCGCCCTGGCCGTTTCTCCCGAGGCTCCTGCAGCTGGATGCGGGACTCTGGCACAGCGGCTCCTGCCCTGTCCCTGTTCCTCTCTCCCCTGTGCTGTGCTCTGGACACCGGGATCCACAGCCCCCCTGGGAGAGAGGTCACAGCCACTCCCTGGGACGCCTCTCCTCCGGACGGCTCCAGGCCCTACCTCCACCCTCTGGCCCAAGGCCCAGGACAAAGAAACTGGAGCCAAGGGTGTCAACCAGTGCCGCCAGGCCTGGGAGGAGAGGGAGCCCCTGCAGACCCCCACTCCAAGGAGCTCTCAGTCCCCAAACCACGGCTGAGCTCTGGGTGGCCCGTCAGTGACACCTGAGCCGGCTGGCGGTTGAGCCCTTGGCCACGTCCTGTTCCTGGTCCTCCCTGGGTACACACGAGGAGGGGGCAGGGGCCGGTCCCGCGTGGGAACCTCAAGGGAGGACAGGGAGGACAGGAGCTGGGCTGCAGCCTCAGAAGGAGCAGATCCGCTCTCCCAGGACAAGTACTGTGGACTCTGCCCACCGGCTCAAGGCTTCCCGGCAGAAGGTCAATAATTGACCCAAAGCCGTCCAGGAAGTCTTGGGGGAGCTCGGCTCAGCCCCGGCCCGTCCCTCAGGGCGCTCCCCTCCGTCTGCTCTGCCGTCCTGCCTCGGCCTCTTCCCCACAGGACCTGCAGCCGGGACCTCAGCAGGCCCGGCGGTCATCCAGGTGCCTGAGCGGCTCCCAGGCCGCGCTCCTCAGAGACCCGGCGTGGCCCGCCCCCTCCACCGAGGACCGCACCCCAACTCCTCCCGGGGACCCCGGGGGACCTCTCCTCTCGCCATCCTCGCTGAGATGCAGGGCAAGAGCGCAGCCCCTGGGCCTCACAGCGCGCAGTGCGGCCAGGGGGGCCCCTTCCAGGCGGGACCTCGCCCCCTCCGGGGCCGGCCCCGCCCCCCGGAGCTGCGGCAGCCCGAGCCCCGATCCGGTGCCTCTCCCGCGAGACCCCAACTCTCCACCGCCCATCCCGTCTTTGTTCGCCAGGCTCTGCCCTCGGGGACCCAGTGCCCCCACTTCCTCCGGGGACACCGGCCCTCGCTTCAGGACGCGAAGGAAGCCCAGCAACGCGGGCCGCGCCTCCTCCGACCCGGCTCTGCCCCGCTCCATCGCCACTCGCTGGTCTGCGGGGCTCTGCCCGGTCTCCCCTCCCGCGGGCGGGCGCAGCGCCCCGGCCAGCCCCGAGCCCGGCCTCCCGCCCTGCAGGCCCGGCCTCCGCCCGCCTCACCGTAGGCCTCGTCCTCACTCCGCTTTCCCCCCATGGCTCAGTCTCCGGAGTGACTGGAGCCCGGGAGCCCGGGAGACCTGGCCGCTCACCTGCGCCGCCCCGCCCCAGGCGTCACGGCCCCACCCCCGTGCCTGGCACTCCGTTCCTCCTCCCGGACTGCGGCCGCCGCCCAGCCACTGCCCAGAGCCGCAGCGGGAGCTCCGCGGTGTCCTCCAGCCCACAAGCCAGATTTGCTGTCCCAGCCGGTGACCAGCTGGGCCACCGGGCCCCACGCCTCCCCGTCCACTGGGCTCACCCACACGGCCAAACCCGAGCAGCCTGCTTCCCACGGCTCTGCCCCTCGGACCCGCTCCTTCCACCTTCCCCAGGAACATCACGCAGGCGGTTTATTACTAAACCCGACATTTACTGAGAAAAAAACACCCGGTTGGCACAGAAGCGCAACTTCAATTTATCCAACGTCAGTGGAGGTGGAGGGCCGGGTGGCCAGCTCCGCAGTCAGGCTCCCAGGGAGAAGCCGGCTCCGGGAGAGGGGCTGTCAGACCTCCAGGGCCCTGGAGAGGAATGTGTGAAGGGCACGGGCGGCGGCGGAGGGGGCAGTGCCCCGGCTGGGCTGTGAGTCGGGCGGCAGGAGGCGCAAAGCCGTTGGCCGCGGGGCCAGGGCAGGGACGGGGCGTGGTCCGCTCTCAGGTGTTGACGGGGGGCAGGGAGCCCAGCTCGGGCAGCAGCTCGGGGTGGGGGTCCAGGCGGGCCAGGCGGCTCTGCTCCAGGGCGATGGCCTCCGCGGAATGCTTGCACTTCTCAGAGCCGCACTGGCAGGTGAAGTACTTGCTCTTGATGTCCCAGAAGCGGTCACCGTAGTCAAAGCTGTCAGGGGCACGAGAGCTCATGGGATTCGGACTCAGCCAGCCAAGTCCACCCCCAAAGACCCGGGGGCCCTGCTCCCAGGAAGGACCCAGGCCTGTGAGTTCCACAGACTTGCAGCTTTGGGGCTGCCTCGGGATTTGTTACAAGTGCAGGCTCCTGGGCCCCTCCAGAACCTAGTGAACCCCAATCTCGGTGACTGTCAGGGCTTTGCTTAAAACCTTTTACGTCTTATGTTCCATTTTCGGAACAGCACGTAACAACGGACCATAATACAAACTTTCCTCAAGTTCTTGTTCCTTGAATTTTTCTAGGTAACATACACGAATTTCACGCAACGATTTAAAAAACTGCAAGCTTCGGCATAAATGGCTTAACAAGTCCTGCAAGGGACTATTAAGTACACCGAGGAGGCCCGAGCAACCGAGCTCTCCAGGCCCCAGGCCCAGGTCCCCAGCCAGCTGGGCGCTCACGTCCCACCCAGCGCCTCACCCCAGCTCCTCCCCGGTCCGGATGTCGCGGGAGCTGAAGAAGGCGATGCGCGGGAACCGCAGGTCTTGGTGCAGCATGAAGACCCGGACGGGGATGATGTTGGGGTCACACAGGTGGTTGATGAAGCGGCTAATGTTGCCATAGTAACGAGCATCAATGCAGTAGACCTCTCCATCCTGGGGAAGGGGGGCCTCATCACTCTCCCCAACCGGGACCCGCGTGCACGGACCCCAGCCGCACCCCCAGGCGTCCACCTGCGGACTGGGGGGCAGCCCGTGGAGGCGGGGCAGGGAGACTGCCCGCTCACCTTGTTGTCCAAGTCGAAGAGGTAAGAGTCATCTTCCCGCACGTCAGCCTCCGCATCGGAGATCAGCTCCCCAACATACCTGTGGGGCAGGAACCAGTGGTTCTGAAGGCGAGCAGGATTTCAGGGGAACGCGTCTGAGGCTGGTCTCCCCCGCTCCTGAACCCTCTTCCACCCCGCAGCTGCGACAGGCGGGAGACCCAACATACACTGAGCCGCGCTGGGCAGCACAAGCCAGGAGGACCTAGGGGACATGTGAGGGCAGGGCCAGAGCCTGGGGCAGAGAGCAAGGCCAGCCTGGGGGCTGCAGGGTTAGAACTCCGAGCAGTGAGCTGGGGTGGGGATCGGGACCAGGACCCTCCCAGCAGGGGCAGCAAAGGGAGGGGCCTGGCCAAGAAGAGAGGGTGCAGCCTGGGAGGGGGACACGGAGCTGGTGGCGAGCGGGCACGGATGGGACAGCAGCGGGGAGCCAGGCAGTCTGACAGGAGTGGGCAGATGCCAGGAGAGCCAGGGCAGAGAGACAGATGGGGTGAAGGCGAGAGTGGGGCAAGGGTGGGGTCTGGCAGGGGGCGTGGATGTGGATGTGGGAGGCCGAGGCCCAGCAAGACGCAAGAGGCTGCCCTGGGGAGGCCAGAGGACAGCAAGAGACGGACCTATTGCCCTGGAAGGGGCAAACCCGCCCACAAGATAAAGAGGCGCCGTAGACTCAGGCCCAAGAAGGTGACTGCAGCGCCCGCCACTCACTCGCAGATGAAGGTGCCCTGGGGGATGGTCTGCAGCGCTCGGACCCCCCAGCCCATCTTGGCCGTTCGGTAAAGCTGCAGTCGCACCCTAGGGCGGGAGAGAGGGAGACCCTGGGTGCCGTGGCTGGGGGAGCCACGCGGGCGGGCGGGCGGGCGGGCGGGAGGCGGGGCCGGCCCTCACTTGATGCCGCTCTGCACCACCCGGTTCTTGCAGTTTCTCCAGCAGGAGCAGGCCTGGTTACACTCGAAGATCAGCGGGGGCTCGATCTTGTTAAACTCCTGCAGCAGCCGCCCGTCCTGGGTGGGGGTGGGCAGGAGGAGGGTGGCGGCTTCTGTGTGGGGCCCAGGACCCCCAGGATGCCACAGAAAATCCAGTGCTGGACCCAGAGCCAGAAGGAGGCGGGGCCCACAGGCTCGGAGGTCAGAGACCAGGAAACACTCAGGCTTGCAGCCTCATTTGCATATGCCCGGCAGAGGCCCAGTTCCCAGTCCTGTCCCGCCCCGTCACCTCACACGCAGGCGACAGCCGTTAGGGGCTGGGAAGTGGCAGCCTCCGCCGGTGGCCAGGCCAGGGGTGAGGGGCACCCACCTTGTCATACCAGCACCGGATGCTGAGCTGGCCACACAGGCAGTTGGAGCTGGAGCAGTCGTCCACGCACGTGCAGTGCTGCGGCAGGGGCAGAGGTCAGCACCGCCTGCGCTGGCTGGGCCCTCGCCCCACTCTGTTCCTGGGACCCACGTTTTAGGATGGAGCTGTACCCAGGGCCACCCCGGTGTGCTACCTTCCTGCGGCCCAGGAGAGGCCCCCCTTCCCGGGGGTCCAGCCCTGCACCCAGCCCGCGCCCCACACCTGCAGGTGCGTGATGTTACGGTCGATGTTCATGGTGGACGTCTCACAGTTCTCTGAGATATACTTGTAATCCTCGGGGCAGGGCTCCCCGTCCACGCCATTCACGCAGGGGATGGGCACGTTCTCATAGCCCCGAGCCACATCCCTAGGCAGAGGAGAATTGGGGCTGGGCTAGGCTGGGGGTGAGGGGCTCCCTTAGGTGTGGCAGGGCTGGGGAGGCTCTGAGGTCCGGAAAAACGAGGCTTTGGAAGTTCACAGGGCGGGGGAGTGAGGGTGCCTGATAAAATGCAGGAGGCCCAGTTAGAGCTGAGGTTCACATCAACCAGAGTAACGTTTTCGCATAATTTTGTCCCAAATAGCGAATGGGACCTTTTTCTTTTGTGTCTGGGACTGAACCCAGGGCCTCAGGTATGCTAGACAAGTACTCTTGCGGTGAGCAATGCCCCTGGCTCTTTTCATTTTATTATGAAACGGGGCCTGGCTCAAACTTTCAATCCTCCTGCCTCAGCCTCCTCAGCAGCTGGGATTAACAGGCATGGGCCATGTGCCAGCACATGGGACATTTTCATATTAAAAAGCATGTACATGTTCACCTGAAAATATTTTTTGAGACTGGGTTTCATAATCTTGCTCAGGCTGGTCTTGAGCTCCTGGGCCCAATCCTCCTGCCTCAGCCTCCTGAGTGGCTGCATTAGTAGCACTGCCTGGCTCCCACCTGAAATTCTAGTCTAGCTGGGTGTCCTCTTATTTACTGTATTTGTGAATCCCTGTCGGGGACCTGGTGGGCTGGGGGAGGAGCAGCGGCCCGGGGCTCACCGGCAGATGATCTTCTCCGTGCGGATGGCCCGGTTTCCCACCCCAAGCCGGAGCTTGCGGTTGAGCTGGAGCGCAAACCACACGTCGGAGCGCTCGGGGGTCAGGTCCCACGCCGTGTCCCCCTCCTTGTTTCGCAGCTCAGGGTTGGCCCCCCGGGACAGGAACAGCCTGGCGGGCGGGGGACAGGGAGTGTGTGTGGGTGTGGGTATGGGTGTGGGGTCGGCTGGGCTGCGGGGCAGGGGCGGGGCGGGGGCTCACAGCACACAGTCGTGGTAGCTCTCCCGGGCTGCGATGTGCAGGGGCGTGTCCCCGTGGTAGTTGACCGCATGGAGGTCGCAGCGGGCGTTCAGGAGGACCTCCGCGATGGCGGCACTGCCGGTGAAGGAGGCCCAGTGCAGGCAGATGTTCTCCTCCTGCGGGGGCCAGAGCGGGAGGAGGGTGCAGCTGAGCAAGCGAACCCTGAGCCCAGCCTCCACCCCACTCGGGCCCTGGGCCACCCCCCGCCTCCCCCAGGCTGCCCGGCAGCCGCTCACTCACGTTGTCAGTGAGGGTGACGTCGGCGCCCCGGGTCAGCAGCATGCGGATCACATCAATGTGCTTGTGCTCCGCGGCCCAGATGATGGGCGTCCACCCCCCGCTGTCCTGTGGGGAGACACAGGGGGAGGCGGAGGCCCACACGCTCACCAGCGTGCTCTGGGCAGAGCACGAGTTCGAATCCCCGCTCTACCCTGTCTCTGGGCGTCAGTTTCCTCATCTATAATGTGGGAACGACAGTGCTATCACCTGAGGCTGCAAGGAGAAGCAGTTTCTCCTTCTCAAACGCACTTCCTATAGCCGGGCGTGGTGACGCACGCCTGTAATCCCAGCACTCGGGAGGCTGAGGCAGGAGGATCATTGAGTTCAAGACCAGCCTGAGCTACAAAGTGAGCTCAAGGCCAGCCTAAACTGCACAGCAAGACCCTGAGACAAAAAAAAACCCAAAAGAAACAAAAACAAAAAACACACACTTCCTAAACCACTTCCTAAAACACTCCAAAGTCCTAAGGGCAGGGCCAGCTGTGAAGCCACCGAATCCTGAAGGCCACACACTGTTCCTGCCCTAACAGAACCGAGGCCTCTCAGAGAAACGGCAGAGCCTGGGTGAGCGGCAGGAGAATGTGCTGAGAGCTCAAGGCTATACGACGCGACCTCAGGGGCTTCCCTGGACAAAGGGGGGCGTTCAGGATGGAGAAGAATGACAGCTAGATGAAACCCTGGCAGAGACCTGCCAGGCCGGCATGGCTCTTGGCGATTAAGGCAACAGCTGGTTATCCAAACCCTAACACAGAGAGGAGCGGCACGGATGAAGAGGGAGGTGGCGACGGGACAGACCGCTCCCGGGCACCGCGCCAAGGGCCAGAGGTGGGCGGAGGGGAGGGGGCCTACGGCCACGTCCGGCAGGGGCCTGGGGGGCCACTGACCTGGGCGTTGACGTCCACCTGTCCCGTGCTGAGCAGCAGGCTGACCATCTCCAAGTTGCCGATTTTGGCTGCGTGGTGCAGGCAGGTGGAGCCGTCCTCCTCCTGAGGGAGACAGGCATGGCAGGCGCTTCCCCGGCTGGGCGCCTGGCCGGTCCCCACTCCCCGGGCCTCCGCCGCCCGCCGCACCTTGCTGTAGACACAGCCGCCTCGCTGCACCATGTAGCGGGCCACCTCCAGGTGGTTGTTCACCACGGCCTCCATGAGCGGGGTCCGCTGCTGCTTGTCCACAGCGTTGATGTTGGCTCCAGCCTGCAGGGAGGGGCACGGGGCTGGCACCAGGGAGGGCCGGGCAGGGGCAGAGGCAGGGGCTGTCAGGGAGGCGGAGCGCTGGGCCATGCTGACCTGCAGCAGCACGTGGCAGATCTCCACGGAGCCCTTCTGGGCGGCCGCGTGCAGGGGCGTGCGCTTGCTCTGCTGGTCGCTCTGGAAGTTGGGGTCCAGGTTGTCCACTGCAGGGGAGAGGGAGGGACAGGCAGTGAGCGAGCGAGGGGCAGAGGCACGTCTCGCGGGAAGGCTTCTCAGCGCCTTCTGCTGGCCCCCTCCACGTCTGCCTCAGCCAGGGCTCTCAGCAGCGGTAAAGGCCCAGCACCCCGCAGCCCTGGCCCTCAGCAGGGATGTGCACCAAGCAAGACACCTGCTCTCCGCGCTCCGTGCTGGGAAGGGTTCAGAGTTACCGCGTGAGCGCTGTGACCGGCCCAGCAGGAGGGATGTGCCCGCCCCCGCCACGCCAAGCCCTCCAGGGCCTGGACACTCACACAGCATCAGGACCACCTTCTGCAGCTCCCCCTGCTTCACAGACAGGTACAGCTGCCGCGGGTGGAAACGCAGCTTCTTCCGCCTGGAGAGAGCAGGAGTTGGCTGATCGGGCCTGCTCCTCCGGCCTCAGCCCTGGCCACGCCCAGGAGCAACACCAGCTCACCTCTCCGACTCCTGGACGACCAGGGCCTTCTCCAGGGCCTCACGGCCCGGCCCCAGTGGCAGCCCCACGGCTGAGAGGCAGCCCCCGTTGGGCAGGGTCAGCGAAGGCCCCGAGCTGTCGATGGTGTCGGCCAGGGGGTCGCAGGGTGGCCGCCGGGGCTCCCCGTGGCCTCGCATCCTGGCACTGCAGGAGAAAGTGCCAATGTCTGGGGGCAGGGGTGGGCGAGGGCAGGCAGCAGGGCAGGAGAGGCCAGTACCTGGGCTGGGAGGTATCTGCTCTCCCTGGGGCATCCTGGGCCAGGGGTGGGGGCGCAGGGGCTGCAGCACCGGCCTGAGGCGGCCCCCCATCGCCCCAGGGAATGGTCACCTCCTGGGCCTCGGACGCATCCTCCCCGCAATGGGGACAGAAGACCATGCCGTTGAGCTGGGACACACAGGCCCTGTGGAAGCGGTGGGCTACGCGGAAGTCCGGGTGGCACTCCAGGAAGGTGCCCTGGGGCAGGGCAGGGCAGGGCAGGACAGGGTCAGGCTCAGGCACCTCCCACGGGGCGGGGCAGGCCACCCACGAGCGCTGCCGCCACTCACCGCCGTGCAGAAGTAGCCGCAGCCCGGGCAGCAGTGGTGCTTGACCATGCGGGCACGGTGGGTCTCGCAGAGCACCATGAGCGCCACGCGGCTGGACGGCCTCATGGTCTCCCGCTTGAGGATGGCCGCGTTGCAGCCCGACAGCTGGGGACAGCAGGGGCAGGCGAGAGTGCACGGTGAGGCCGTGCCCGGGCTGGACCTCCCGACCCGCCTTCCAGCCCAGCCCACCTCGCCGTCCACGCTCTCAGTGGCCATGCACTTGTGGCCGGCCCGCTCGCTGATGCGGTCGATCTTGGGCGCCTCCATGCGGCAGCTGCACAGGGGCAGCTCCTCGAAGCCGCGCTCCGTCTCCAGGGAGGACGTGTCGTTGGACACCCCTGGGACAGAGGAAGGGCGGCTGAGGGAGGCCCTGGCCCGCACCTGCCGGGAGGGTGCTCTGCTCCCGCTCCTCCTCTCCCTCCACGCTCCAGAGCCCTGAGCCCAGCCGGACATCCAGGCTCCGGCCGGGGGCCCCCCTCCCCGGAACCCTGTTCCCTCCGGCCCCTGGGCACCCCCTAGCGGCTCTCTGTCCAGGCGATGGGCATTTACCAGCGTGGTTGGGGGAGAGGGTCCCCTCGCTGGGCAGCTCCAGGGACCCCAGAGGGACCTCCATGTACTCACTGGGGCCTGAGGAGCCCACACCATTCACTCCTGACACAGAGACAGAGAGAGTGAGAGTGCGAGCTCACGGTGCCGCGCGTGGGTACATGCGGGTGTACATGCGTGGGCCTGTGTACACGTGCGTGCCTCTGGGGGCCGGGAGAGGGCGGAGGAGGGGACCCAGGCCGCTGAGGAGCCCCCTCACCTCGAGGCTCCTTGGCCCGCGGAGGCTCCCGCTTCCGCCGTTTCCGAGACGGCTTCACCCACGGGCTGTCCTTCCGCCACTTCTTCTTGGCCTTGCGCCGGCTGCTGGAGCCGCTCTGCGGAGGGCCAGGAGTCAGGGCCAGGCCGCAGCCCCTCCTGCCCCAGGGGCCGGCCTGCACTCACCCTGTCCGACTGGTTGCCCGACTCCTCGTCTTCCTCCTCCTCATCTTCCTCCTCCTCCTCTTCTTCTTCCTCCTCCTCCTCTTCCTCCTCCTCCTCCTCCTCTTCACTCAGCTGCTCGGCCAGGGCTTCAACTTCAGACTGGGAGAGAGGAAACCGGGGCTGGGGAGACAGCAACCCCCGGGCCACAGCTCTCTCCTGGGGAGAACGAGGCAGAGGTTGCACAGGACAAATCCAAGAGGACACGGACAGGCAAGACAGACGAAGACAACGGCCACACTGCCCCCACCTGCCCAGGGACGGCTCCCCAAGAAGATGCACGTGGGCAGAGAGGAGGAAGGGCTGGGGAGACGGCACGAGTGCTGCGTGGCCACGAGAGGGACGCTCTGCTCACACGGCGACGTGTGGGTCCTGCTAACCAATGTGGTGCTGCTGCTACGGACCTCACAGATGGACACGACCACACACGGCTGCTAAGGGCAGCAGGTGAAAAGCCCGTGATGAAGAAATCAGCTCGGTGCCACCCGAACCCACGCGGTCAGTACAAATGTCACCAGAGAGAAATGACCCGTGTTCTGTGCCTCCTGACGTGAAGTGAAGGGAAAACCGTGCACACGGAGCTGTCACCCCTAGGCTGTCACCTCGTTGGCTCACAGGCAGTGTCGGGGGAGGGATGCAGGGTCCCCACTCCCTCGGCCACTCTCAATTCTGAGAAACCATCTCGGTCAACTGGCCCAGTCTCTTCCACAAATAAAAGGTGAGCAAAAAGGTTTTTGCCTTTTTTTTTTTAAGATGAGGAAATCTATGTATCAAAAGCTATCCAACACAAATGCCAATCAAATCAATGTGTGGGTCCCTTCTGGATGATAGCTGGGGCCCATTTATGAGACTGAGGCCATGGCAGACCGACGGGGACATGCCATGGTGTGAAGGAATCACTGGGAAGCCGTTCTGGGGGTGTGGGAATGGTGATGCAGTGATATTAAACGACAGAAAGAGGCCTTATGTTTAGAGGCACAGACGGCAGTATTTCCACATGAAGCGCTGATGCCGGGGAGTCCCATGCAATGGCCTGGCCCCACCGTTCTCTTCTGTGTCTACTTCCAAACACAACAGCAAGACTACAGCTTACATCGTGCAGGGGACACGGGAGGCCACGCACACACAGCAAGCGGGGGAGCCCGCACACAGGAAATGAGCCACAGAAGGGGCGCAGGGCCGTGTGGATGGACACCGCCGCCCCCGGCATGGCAGGGAACGAGCGTGCTCGCTCGGGATACACCGGAAAGGAAGGGCCGGCCGGGGTGCACCTCGGTGGTAGAGAGCTTGCCTAGCATGCAGGAAGCCCTGGGTTCGATCCCCGGAAGCAAAAAAAGAAAAAAGAAGGTAGAAAGGAAAAGAGGGGGACAGGAAAGACTGGGGAGCAAGCCCCGGGCCTCGGGGCGGGAGGCGGGCTGCTCCGCTCACCTTGCTGTCTGAGTCCACTCGCTCATCCACAGAGTAGGAGTCATAGTAGAGACTGAAGTCATCCCCCACCACCGTCTCCCACTCCTCCAGGGACCTGGGGTCCCCTTTGTCCAGGGTCACTTCTCCCGAACCCCGGGCAGAACCCAACTCCTCCGACTAGAAAAAGATCAGCAAACTTGAGGCTGCTGCTCCTCCCCTTCCAGCCCCCACTTCGCTGAGGACAGACGCAGCCCCCCCGGTGGAGAGGTCCTGCCCCTCCTCGCTGCTCACCAGGCCAGCTCCAGAGGTCAGCTTCCTCCGCTTGGCCACATCTGGAAGGGAGGGAAGGAGTGAGGCTGGGGTCCTCAGCTCTGGGACAGCCGCACGGGCCGAGGGTGGGGCGCGGACCAACCTGAAGTCACCTTCCCCAGGGAGTGCACGTCATCACTCATTCGGAAATGCTGTACTTCTGGGGGCCGCTTCTCAGGGACCGGCGGCTGGAGGGGAGGGAACACGTAGAGGGTCAAGTCACAGGAGGTCGGGGAGCAGCTACAGGCTTGCCTGGATTAGCCTGGAGCCCAAGGCAGGGGTGCCATGGTGAACCACACCTCAAAACACCCCCTCCCCAAGCTCCACAAACCAGACAGTGGCAATACCAGCATGGTGAAACCTTGGGCTGCAAGTAACTTGTTCCACAAGTGTCCACAAGCCGAGCGAATGTTTCTAGTAAGTTCCGACTTGAAAAAGAGCCATGTCTAGCAATATGCCCAGTATGTGACGCTAAATGTCACATGATCACAACCCAGCCAATGGCTGTTTCTCTCTCTCACTGCGGGATTGTGGGTGATTCTTTGCCAACAGCAAGAGATTACAGAGAGCTTGTCGGCACTGGGAGAGAAAAAGGCAGAGAACTCCCTCTCTTCAAACGAGATTAGCGAAATGTTAAAATGTGGGAAACTGCAAAATTCTGTAGAAAAACAGCACCCAAATAAAGCTGTGGTAATTTGAGCCACGAATCTGCTTAACACAACGTCACATTTCTGCGACATCCCAAAAGGAAGCAAATGTCACTGGACAGATGCCTGTTGCAGGAAAAAGGGGTGTAGCTCAGTGGGAGAGCACTTCCCTAGCATGTACAAAGCTCTGAGTTCAGCCAGGCATGGTGGCACATGCCTGTGATCCCAGCATTTGGGAGGCTGAGGCAGGAGGATTGTTGTGAGTTCCAGACCAGCCTGGGCTACAAAGTGAGTTCGAGGACAGCCTGACTGCATAGCGAGACCCTGTCTCAAAAAGACAAAAAAAAGAAGTTGCAGAAAAAGAAACATTTCCTTGAACCAAAGGCAGCGGTTCTGTTAGTGACAGTGAAAGTCATGCTACACAATAATTTTCCTTTTATCTCCCTCATACCAGCCGGGAAGGTTTGCCAAGGTAACTATAGATTAATTTATTTCTTTAAATTTTTAATTTATTATTTTGTATTAGGTTACAACAATCATTTTTATATGAGTATTTTTGAGTTGTGGAAGGAATCATCTGAGGTTTCCATTCTTTCTTTTTTTGAGACAGGGTCTCTGGCCAGGGATGTAGCTCAGCGATACAAGCACCTGCCTGGCAAGCGCAAGGTCCTGAGTTAGATTCCTGGTACCAAAAAAAAAAAAAAAAAGGGGCTGGGGATTTAGCTCAGCGGCAAAAGCACCTGCCTGGCAAGCGCAAGGTCCTGAGTTAGATTCCTGGTACCAAAAAAAAAAAAAAAAAAAAAAAAAAAGAGACAGGGTCTCACTATGCAGTTCAGACTGGCTTTGAGCTCACTTTGTAGCCCAGGCTGGCCCCGAACTCACAACGATCCTCCTGCCTCTGCCTCCCGAGTGCTGGGATTACAGGCGTGCGCCACCACTCCCGGCTCTGTTATTTCTTCTGGGGGAAATTCACTGTGAAATAAATACAAGTGCTCTGGATTACAAGCATGTTTCTGGGAGAAATTACACTCATAAACTAAGGTTTTACTGAACTGTTATTCCCCAAGTGCAGGGGGGTCAAGCATGTCTCATAAGTAATGCTCACTGAGCCCCTCAGACACACGGGGCAGACCCTTCCTCCTACTCTGCCCGGTCACAGCCCTCTGCGAACCTACCTTCACAGCAGGTTACAACAACAGCTGAAGTGTGGAAACAACCGAGTCCACCGACAGCAGAGTGTGGCATCGCACTGCCACAGATTCAACATACAGGAGCAAGAGTGTTTTTAGAAGATTGTGTCTGTACCTATGAACAGACTCTTCTTTTCCCTTATTCCCTAAATAAAACAGCATTAAAAACGCTCCCATAGCATGTACACTGTTTAGTATTATAGATAACAAGGAAATACCCAGGAAGATGCATGTATTTCTTTTTCTTTTTTTTATTGTACTGAGGACTGAACCCAGGGCCTCTTCCCGGAGCTACCTCTCCAGCCTGTTTTCATTTTTTATTTTAAATAGGGCCTCACTAAGTTGCCCAGCTAGGCTTGAACTTGTGATCCTCCTGCCACAGCCTGCTAGGATTACAGGACTGTGCCACTATGCCCAGTTTACATGTAGTTTTTTTTTTTTTTTTTTTTTTTTGCTAATGCTAGACAATTTCATAGGAGGGACTTTTTTTTTGAGACAGGGTCTTACTGTGCAGTTTAAAGTGGCCTTAAACTCTCACTACATAGCTCACACTGGCCTCAAACTTAAGGCCATCCTCCTCCCTCAGTCTCTGAGTGCTGAGATTATAGGTGTGCATCACCACACTCGGCTTGTAAGGGACTTTAATACCACTAGATTTCTGCATCTGTGAGGGCCCTGTAATCAGTCCCCCCTTGGATCCTGAAAGATGACTGCACATAAATGGAGTATTACTAGCTTTAAAAAGGCAAGAAATTCTGACATACACAACAACGGAGAAACATAAATTAAACAAAATAAACGAATCATAGCTGGGCATGGTGGTGCACGCCTATAATCCCAGCACCTGGGAGACTGAGGCAGGAGGATCGACAAGAGTTTGAGGCAAGCCTGGGCTACACAAGCACGTTCAAGGTCAGCTTGAACTACAGAGCAAGATCCTGTCCCAAAAAAAAAACAAAACAAACCAGTCACAAAAAGACAAATACTGTGCTGTGCAATTAAATATGAGGTAGTTACAGTAATCACATTCCTAGAAACAATAATGGTGTTCACCAGGAGCTGGGTGGAGAGTTAGGGACATATTGTTCAACAGACAGAGTTCAAGTGTTGCAAGATGAAAATTATGGAGACCAACAACTGCACAACATTATCAAGTTTTTAACACCACTGACCTCTACACTTGAAACTGCTTTAGATGGTCAATTTTATACGCATTCTAACACAAGAAAAAAGATAGAAGGGCTGGGGATTTAGCTCAGCGGCACAGCGCCTGCCTGGCAAGTGCGAGGCCGTAAGTTCGATTCTCGGTACCAGAAAAAAAAACCAAAACCAAAACCAAAAACAAAAAAAAAAAGAAAAAAGATAGAGAAAAAATTAAAGTAGGGCCAGGCATGGTGGGGCACGCCTGGAATCCCAGCACTTGGGAGGCTGAGGCAGGAGGATCGTTTCAAGTTTTCGGCCAGCCTGGGCTCCATAAGTGAGTTCAAGGCCAACCTGAACTGCATGGTGAGAACTTGTCTCAAAAAGACCAAAAAAAAAAAAAAAAAAAAAAAAGTAAGGTATGGTGGTGAATCTTGTAATTCCAGCTACTCAGGAGTCTGAGGCAGAAGGATCACAACTTTAGGAGCTACCTGTGCAGTTTAGAAGGCCTTTCACTCAAAAACAAAATTACAGAGGTTGGTAGTTCTAGCTCAGTGATAGATCGCTGCTTAGCCAGTGAGCCGCCTTGAGTTCAAGCCATACGGGCCCAGCAAAAAATAAAAACAAAAGAAAACAAAAAAACTCAGAGGCAGGCTACTCATACCACATCCAGAGAAAGCAACACAAGAAGGCCTCAAAACCTCGACCCTAAAGCTTCTGGGATTCTGGGGATTTTGTTTGTGGCTCCTCTAACTTTTCTACGGCCCTCCTTGCCACAAAAAGGTTCAGAGGAGGGGGAGAAGCTCCCTTCTGCCCTGCTTGGAGGTAGAAAGGAAAAGCGGCCTTCCTTTCCTCTCATCAGCTGTGCGATTAACTGTTCTACTCCCAGTCCCCACGAATATAAACTCCTGGAAGGCAGGCTCCCTCTGCTCACGGATTAAGCCGGGCCCAATGCTTGACTCATAGCAGCGTCTTGGTACAGAGCGCAAAAGGACTGTTTTTGTTATTTTTTAAAAAGCCCACCGAGGTTTACCCTGGAGCATTCCCCGCCCGCCCGTCCTACCTGCCCATTCCCTGGCTTGGCCATGGTCTTCCGGGCGCGGTGGACCTTGGGCTGCCCCTCTGGACAGACGGTGGTAGCCGGAGCGGGTTCAGGCCCCGCTGCAGCCACGGGTCCCTGGGCCCCGGGCATATTCAGCAGCCGCATCGCCAAACTCTGGACGGATGGGGGCGACTTCCCGGCCCCGGTCATTGACATTTTGGCCCGGCTGGCACAGGCACCCCCCTTGCTGGGGGAAGAGGGGAAGGACTTCGTGGCGTGGCCTAGGAGAGGCGGACAGGCGGGAGGCCGGTAAGACGGCGGCGGCGAAGACCCCCGCCGGCCGCCCGCCCTCGCACTCCCGCCTCTTACCCAGCAGGACTCGGCCCCCATCGCCCTCCGGGTTCTCGGGTTCATCCCCAATGATCGGCGCGGCCCCCACGGGGGTGTCAGCGCCCTCCTCGCCCACGGTGACAGTGACGGAGGCCGGCGAGGAGGCGCCGGCGGGCTCCAGGGAGTCGGGGCTGGCCTTGGGCAGGGTCTCCTCACTGGGAGGGGTGTCCCCCAGAGAGCCAGGGACTGCGGCGGGAGAAGAGGTTCAGGGCGGGGGCTCCGCGGATCCCGGGTCAGCGGAGGTGAGGTCCGGCCCGCCCGCTCCGCCGCACTCACCTCTCTCGGGGGCTCCTCGGGGCTCCTTCTCCAGCAGCAGCGCCCCCATCTCAGCGGGGGTGTCCCCCTGAGAGGACAGACAGGGCACGGGAGGGCTGGTCAGCCCGGCGGGGAGCTGGGGCGCCCAGGACGCCTGGGCCCTGGGCAGAGACAGCAGGCTCCGGGGCCTACCTCTCCCTCGGTGGGGGCCGCCCCGGCCCCGGCCCCGGCTGCCCGGAGGGGCCGCACGACCCCTGCCC